TTCTCCCTTTTTTTAATTCCATAGGCCTGAAACATCTAAATCTGCCTAAAATATAGGAGTAGTTAATTGCCCACAGCTGAATAACCAACTTGTCTTTTTGAAGTCTCCAAAAAAGTGCTAGTGACTAACACACTAGTACAAATGTGAAACAAGCAAATGTAATTAACAGAAATGCTAGAGGGCCTAGACAGGCAGAAGCTGCATAACAGCTTGGCAAAAAACAAAACAAAACTGTGTGTTCACTACTGGTGGCTCTTCATGGTTAGAAAAGAGACTTGCAAATAATGTTTAATGACTTTTTTTGTCAATTGTGGGACTTGGACTCAGTGCCTGAGCGCTGTCCCTGAGCTTTTTCAAAACTCAGGGCTAGGGCTGGGAAGTTGGCCCAGTGGTAGAGTGCTTGCCTCTCATGCATGAGGCCCTGGATTTGATTCCTCAGTACCACATAAGCAGAAAAAAGCCATAAGTGGCTCTGTGGCTCAAGTGGTAGAGTGCTAGCCTTGAGCTGAAGAGCTGACAGTGCCCAGGCCCAGAGTTTAGGCCCCACAACCTACAACAACAACAAAAAACCTAAACAAACAAACAAACCTAAAAAACTCAGGGCTAACACTCTACTTTGAGCCACAGCACAACTTCTGGTTTTCTGGTGGTCAGCTGGAGATAAAGAGTCTCACAAACTTTCTTGCCCAGGCTGGCTTTGAACTGTGATCCTCAGATCTCAGCTTCCTGAGTAACTAGGATTACAGTCATGAGCCACTAGTGCCCAGCAGATTTTTAAATTCTTAAATTACATGATTAGATCTTACCAAAAAATGACTAGACCACGCATAAAATAATTTTAATTAAAAACCTAATCTAAGTTTTATATGAACTATTCTCAAAAATCTCTATAATATATTAAATTGTCTGAAGAATCCTATGGACATATCATCAACTTCGCTAGCACTAAGGAGCAGTAGATATTTGCAGAATGTGGTAGATACCAATCAGTTTGAGAATAGTAAGGTAGGTGTCAGAACATACTCCAAGACTCAATAACTAAGAATTTATTAGAAGTCTATTCTTGGTAAGAAATGTACTCATTACCTTGCTCATGTAATTGTAACCCTTCTGTACGGTATTTTCACAATAAAAAAAAATTTATAAAAATAGAAGTCTATTCTGTGCCTACTGAGACCTAGTATCTGTAAAGTAATGTAATGAAATAATAGGACAAATCTTTTATGCTCCATAATTATTGCTCTGTTCATTCAACAAGACCCATGAAATCAGGTCACCCCAGTATTTACACTGGACAGGTCAAGACTTAATTTCTTTTTCACATAGCTGCTTCTGAGAGAGCCAGGCAGCCTCCATCAGATTTTCTAGCCAATAGCTGTTTCAGTTCCCAGCTTTCATACTAACTAACTTCCATAGTAACTAGCCCTGGCCAAGAACTTCAGTGCCCCATGGGCTGCTATTTCATTTCTTTATTATTTGAATATGGAAACAGGAAGCAAGCTGAATTGAACTGATTTGACAAGTTGAAGGAGTTGAAGGTAAAACAAATAGAATGGAGGATTAAGAAGCTGATTGAAAAGGAAAGACCTATAGAAAGAGGACATAATCATGGTCACTGTGATGTCCTCTATAGTTCTAGACCATGTATACTAGATGCAGGAATGTGGCTTTTATCAGGCAGGGCACCATAATGATTCAGCAGCAAGGATGTGTCAAGTAGCAATTGAATCTTAACAGCAAAAGCCAGAGCCCAGGCCATGTCACTCTGAGGCAAGGTTTCTAGCTCTGATACATGCTACACTTTGGGCTAGATAATTCTTTGTTGCAAGATCTGTTAATGTGCATTTTAATAGTTTTTAAGTAACTCTGGTGTCTAGCCACTAGATGTCAGTAGGAACTTCCTCCCCAGGTGTGTCAACCTAAGCAAGCTGACAACTTCAGATATTGTCATATTGTCAAATGTCCCCTGAGGAACAAAATTACCCTCAGTGAAGAGTCACTCCTCTGAGCAGGTGGCAATGTAAGCCATTTAATCATTTTAATCAAAGTAAGCAGTATGCTATGATTTGCTTTTTAAATAGATTCAATAAGGTAAAGGGATATCAAGGAGGGATGATGGAGAGATGAAAAGACTAGGCAGACTAAAGACAGTTTGGATGAAGATAATAATCAGTAAACCAAAGCAGAAGCCATAGAGAAAGAAATGAGCATATGAATTTAAGATATAAGGGGAGAGTCAGACAAAGCTTCAAGCCCAGTAAGATAAAAGACTTTGAGGGCCAGATGTGATACACACATGAAATCCCAGTTGCTCAAGAGGCTGAGGTAGGAGGATCACAGTCCAAGGTTGGCATGGGCAAAAGTACAAGATCCTATCTTATAAAATATGTTAAAGCAAACAGAGTTTCTTCTTCAGTGTAATTGGCTTGTTTTCTATTTTTGGCATCAAAGATAGAAAACTGGGTAATACAGTACTGTTTTATTTGCATTTTCCCACCTACTACATCTAGAAAATCTTAATACATTTGATCAGAATGTAAGATTCTAAATCAGTTCATCTGGCATATTCATACTGATTAGGCCTTGCCAGATGGGAGAAAATATTTTTATAATGAAATCTTCACGGAACCATTATAAAATTCCATAAACACACATAGAAAAGAACCACAAAGCATCACAAAAATAACTAAACACTGTCATGTGAAGTAAAGCACAGTAACAAAGGTTAAATTTTAGAAACTAAGGTTCTTCAGAACACTTGGAAAACTCTGGAGTATGAGAAGACTATTCTGTTTATTTTAAATCATGAAGTTCACATTAGTCCAAAGTTAGCCAACTGAACCCTCTCAAATACAAGGACCACTCTGCACCCCACCTAATAGAATATATAAAGCCTAGACATAAATTAAATACTGAGTCAATATAAAAATATCCTGTACTAAATTCTAAAGATAAACAAAGAGAGGGGTTAATTTTGAATAATCATTAAAAGCAAGCCCAGGTCAATAAACATGACAAATGGGCAGAATGTGAGCTCAGACACTGAAAGATACATGGTGGGAACAGCACTAATGGCTGGAAACAAAAACTAATGGTTCAAAATGAATTGCCTTAAAAGCAAAAATTAAAGAAAACAATATGACTTCACCGAATTATATAACAAATGTTCTACTTGAGAGCTGCTGAGATAATATTAAGCATTATATTTAATTAGAAGACCAAAAAATACCTACGTTTACTTTTTAAAAATCTCTGAAAATTATAATCATGATTGGCTAAATGATTTGCCTACCTTTAGTCTTGGAGAAACTGTAGGAAAGTGACCCATTATTTCTGGTGATAATGGCTGTACAAGCAGAATGACACCTCTCCCACCCAAAAATGTCTATATGTGAATCTTCCAAACTTGTAAATGTGTTACTTTCTGTGGCACAAGGGAGTGTGCAGGTATGATTCTGTTAAATATCTTGAAATGGAAGATCACTTGATTACTCTGGTAGGGCTAAGGTTCATAAGTGAAAGGGAATCACAAGATATAGGTCAAAATAGATGAGATATGAGGGACCAAATAACGTACTATTGATTGTGAATCAAGGAATAAGGCAGCCTCTAAAAGCAAAAGACCAGGAAACAAATTCTCATGCAGAGAAGACAGGAATAAAGTTGTATTAACTTTTAATTTAATTCTACTGAAGTTACTAATCAAAATTATTTTAAGGAAACAAACCAATGTTGTTTTAAGCCATTTATTTGTGGTAGCAATAGGAAAGTAATATAAGGGTAAATTGCTGTGGCAAGAAATTATTGAAGCTGAGGTTGTATGTCAATGGACGAGTACTTGTCTAGCATGTTCAAGATGCTAGATTCAATTTTTATTACTGAAAAAACAAATCTCTAGAACAAACACAACTAGACATCTGTTCCTCTAAAGAGCTAACACACAACACTTAAAATTAGATTTGTTTTAAAATTAGATTTATAAAAACAATTAAAAGTAAACACAGGGGCTGGGAATATGGCTTAGTAGTAGAGTGCTTGCCTAACATACAAGAAGTCCTGGGTTTGATTCCTCAGTACCATATAAATAGAAAAAGCCAGAAGTGCCACTGTGGCTCAAATGGTAGAATGCTAGCCTTGAGCAAAAGAAGCTCAGAGGCAGTGACCAGGCCCTATGTTCAAGCCCTAGGACTGGCAAAAAAAAAAAGAAAAGAAAAGTAAAAAAAGTAAACACATTATCTGCCAGATGCCAGTGGCTCACACCTGTAATGGTAGCTACTCAGGAGACTTAAGATCTGGAGGATCAAGGTTCAAAGCCAGCCTAGGCAGAAAAGTCTGTGAAAGTCCATCTCCAATTAACCATCAAAAATCCAGGCTGAAGGTGTAGCTCAAGTGGTAAAGCACTAGCTGTGAGCAAGCAGTCCTACTACTGGTCAAAAAAAAAAAAAAAGAAAGAGACAGACAGACAGAGAGAGAGAGGAAAAAAAGAAGAAGGAAGGAAGGAAAGAAGGGAGGGAGGGAGGGAGGGAGGGATTCAGAGAAGAAAGATAAAAAGTAAATACATATTTAATTTTGATAAGAAAGTAGGTTAGAAAACAAATAGAACACAGAATTTTCAACCAGGCAAGAAGATAAAAATTAATTAGGAAAATTTGGCTTTTTTTTTTTTTTTGGTCAGTTGTGGGGCTTGAACTCTGGGCCTAAAAGCTGTCCCTCAGCTCTTCAGCTCAAGGCGAGCGCTCTACCACTTGAGTTACAGCACTACTTCTGGTTTTTTGGTGGTTTATTAGAGATGAGAGTTTCACGGACTTTCCTGCCCGGGCTGGCTTTGAACTTCAATCCTCAGATCTCAGCCTCCTGAATAGCTAGGATTACAGGTGTGAGCCACCAGCGCAGTGGCATTTCTTATATATAACATTTTTAAAGGGACTACACCAAAGCATGTTCCTCAATAAGTCAACCCAAAGGCAAAACTTAGTACTTGTTTTAAAGCTCATATTTACCTGATGATCCTCTGGGCAGCATACTGATGGAGGGAACGAAACTGTGCTGACATATTTGCTAAGGCTGCCAAGCAATTTGTGTGAAGGTATTTGTCCTGTTAAAAAACAGCAAGTTTAAAACATACATCAAGTCTTCTCTGTATTTTAAATAAGGTTAACTAGAAGCAAATGTGAATTTAATTGTCTCTCATTTTAGAAAGTTGGAAGTCCACAATTTCTTTTCTCTAGTTTTGAAGTCCATAAAGAACTAAGATGTAAAAATATTTTCACAACCCATTTGGAAGCAACAAATGACATAAAACGTAAAGATGTTCTACATGGTTTTCATCATTCCCTCCAGGAAAAATACTGAAATCATTTGCTGCATAAATACTCATGTTTAATTACAGTGTGCTGCTTCAGACTCTAAAATATAAATTATTCTCTATTCTAAAACATATCTTGTTCTTGAAGTCTTGGCTAAAAAAAACCCACAAAAAAAAAACACCACATGGACATATAGCATTAGCCCCAAAGAGGAAAAAACAATAAAAAGTATTTAAACAAACCACTCAGACCACTCAGCTATAAATTCTGTATATTGCTTCTCTTTGATAATATCTTTCTATTGACTAGAACTATAATGGGTCTTATGAACAGAATCCAGAAGAATTGTTTTTTTTTAACTCCTTAAAGTATTTGCTTTTTTCTATTTTTCTTATCAACTGAATTCATATTTTCTTATCATGACATCATCTTATTCTTTGTTGTTGCTGCTTTTAGAAGGTAAATCAAGTAATACCAGTCTAGCAATAAATAGTTTTGACCTAATGTGCTATACTGTGTTCTATTTCACATAAAGTATTTCTGATTGTACCACATTAAATATTAATAAACAATATATTCCAATCAAGTAGTACAGTAACTATAGGCTGTATTTTTGCATTGTTTCATAAGCATTTTGGTACTCTAAAAGTTGAGATAAGCCAGGCACTGAGGGTTCACACCTGCAATGATAGGTACTCAAGAGTCTGAGATCTGAGGGTCCCAGTTCAAAGCCAGTCTGAGCAGAAAAAGTCTGTGAGATCATTATCTCCAATTAGCCACAAAAAGCCAGAAGGTGAGCTGTGGCTCAAGTGGTAGAGTGCTAACCTTGAGCATAAAAGCTCAGGGGCAGTGTCCTGGCCCTCAGTTCAAGCTCCAGAACTAGCAAAAAAAAATAATAAAATTGATGTAAGTTATACTATAGGTTTAGTCATAGTGTATTCAAAAACATGGAAACATAGTTATATAATACTCACTCTTGTCCGTGTCATGTTGTACTGAATGGTTCTTATTACCACCAGAATCAGGAGACTACCCAGTGAAATCTCAGTTAAAACCCGTTCGGAATACCACGTAATGTTTTTTAATATCTAAAATGGGGAAGAAAAGTTGAAGTAAAAATGATTACTTTAAGGAAAAATGAGTTATTCCATGTCTACAATTTTTGAGAAGTCACGGCTCTGCTCTGAAGATAAATTAAGCAGTAAAAAGTAAACTCTAAGATTTTCAGTTCTAGTAAATAAACCCACTAATGTGTTCACTTCTCCTTTCTCCTTAAATAGAAAACAGACAGGTCTGCAAAGCAAAAAGGTATCTACGAACAATATCATTACTAGACAAAAAAAGCGATATATCTGAAAGGAATGCATATAGGATAAGAGTAAAAGACAATCCTATCTACTCAGAAGGCTGAGATCACAAGGATCAAGGCTTGAGACCAGGTAAATGTTTTCAAGACCCTATCTCAACCTATAAAATGTTTGGAGATAGAAGGTAAAAGCCTGTCATCCCATTTATTCCAGGAAGCCTAATAGAAAGACTAGGCTAATAGACTAGGCTAGCCGGGGTAGAAAGTCAAGACTCTATCTCCAAAATAACTAAAGAAAAAAGGCAGGGAGGCATGGCTCAAATGATAGAGCACCTGTCTTTGCACAAGCACAAGGCCCTGAGTTTAAAGCTCAGTACAGCTCCCCACATTCCCCCCCCCAAAAAAAATAAAGTGACACATAAAATGAGTAGAATTTGGGAGCTTGAAGCAAAAATGAGAAAAAGTGAGTGCCTTTTGTAATTGACAGGACAACTTTCTCGACAGTGTATAGAAAACCTAAATGTATGTATTTAGGAAAGAGAAGCCAGGAATGTAATGAGCTCTTGAGACCTTCAAGTAGAACTGTGCAGTGTTTTGCTTGGCTGTTCAGAGCAGACAACCCTGGAATATACCTCCAGGCCTCAGTAGCAGGAATTGTTTCCTGAATTAAGTTGAGATGTTTCCCTGATAGATTTGTAACATGGGTATTGGGAAGGGAAGGATGCATACACACAAAAACTGAGCAGAACAGCAGGCAAATCTGGGCTACCACAAAGAAGGAAAAATACAACACTAACTAGAACTCCCTAATAGTCTTTTATATTATGCTTACTCTATATTCTTCCTCCTTTGACTCAAGAAGAGTCAATGTATCATATTCCCTGTATATGCAAGAAGAAACAGATTTCGAGAGGTTGTTCTTGCCCTCTCCACTAAGATACCCATATGCTGGGTGCCAATAACTCATGCCTGTAATCCTAGCTACTCAGGAGGCTAAAATCTGAGGATCATGATTCAAAGCCAGCCAGGGCAGGAAAGTCCATGAGACTCTTATCTCCAATTAACTACCAGAAAACCAGAAGTGGCCCTGCAGCTCAAAGTGGTAGAGCACTAGCCTTAAGCTGAAGAGCTCAGGGACAGTGCCCAGGCCCAGAGTTCAAGCCCCACAACCAAAAAAAAAAAAAAAAAGATACCCATTATTTGGGCAAAGCCTATTTCTTAGCATTCACAACTGTCAATGAGGTGCCAGAATCTTAAAAAACAAATTTGTGGGGCTGGGAAGGTGGCTCAGTGGTAGAATGCTTGCCTTGCATGCATGAGACCCAGGGTTTAATTCCTCAGCACCACATAAGCAGAGAAAGCTGGAAGTGGAGTTGTGGCTCAAGTGGTAGATGGCTAGCCTTGAGCTGAAGAGCTGAGCAACAACAACAACAAAAATTAGTCTAGATTTTAGGTTTTGTTTGTTTTGTTTTTTTTCTGGGTCCGGTTGTGGGGCCTGAACTCTGGGCTTGGGCGCTGTCCCTCAGCTCTTCAGCTCAAGGCTAGTGCTCTACCACTTGAGCCACAGCACCACTTCCGGCTTTTTTCTTTTTGCTTATGTGGTGCTGAGGAATCGAACTCAGGGCCTCATGCATGCAAGGCAAGCGCTCTACCACTGAGCCACCTTCCTAGACCCTAGATTTTAGTTTTTAACTATAAATGGATAACCAAAATCATTTTCAAAAGTAAATTCATGGTTGGAGGTGTGGCTCAGGCAAAGTGCCTGCCCAGTGAGTTCAAAGTCCTGAGTTCAAAGCCCAGTACCACCACAAAAAAAGTAAAGGAATTCAATAACCGTAAGAGGTTATGTTGAATATAATCAAACCTCTATTCGAATTAGCTCTACATAGTAACATATTAAATAATATGATGATATGGTCAGCCAAACACAAATATAGAAAACTCACTGAACAAAAAACCAAGTTTTTTCAACAAATATTTGATATGATAAATGAGAGGGGGAAATCTATTACAGATTTAAGACTCTTAAATACAAGGAGTAAGATTTGGAATCTAATTCAAACAAATTCTAGAAAATAGATAAATATAATTGGAGAAAATAGGCATTAGCAAGAACAAAAATTTTTGTTGCTTTTGTTGAATGTACTAATAGTATTATGCATTTTTAAAAGTCTGAACATATTGGTATCAAATTAAATATTTACAAATAAAATCATATAATATACATATATTAAAATATCTATAATACAATTATATATACATATATTCATCTGAGTTATAACATTTATTTTAAAAGACTACAGTGAAAAGTTATAATCTAGCATCCAAGTTCTCATCCAACCTAGGTATTAAAACTACTTTCATAGGATGAAAATGCTAAAGAGGAAGAAAAAAAAATCAGTTTAGTCGTAGAACTCTTCAAAGTACCAAAAAATTTTAAAGTTAAATTATATTACATTATTTAAAAAGTATAAAAATTAATGTCTCAATCTTATTCATTTTGTTCTATTCCTCATCCCATCTTTTATTCAAGGAACAAAGTGTTTGTCAGTTCCTGTCACAACTAAAGTTGAAATGAAGAAAAAAATAAATTTAGTAATAGCAAAAACATCTGCATCAATTACTAGTAGGAACCATTTTGATAGATCTGAACAATGGCTGCAGCTTTTCAGGAATAATGCAACAACACTATTTCAGAAGCTGGAAGAAAGATACCATATCTACTCCAGGTCATTACATAAACATCCATTATAAGTAAAAGATGGACAACATGCTAAGACCAAAGTAAATCTGCAGAGGGACATATCTATTCTATATTCTAATCAAAGTAATGGTAACTTACCACTTCATGAATGGACCTATTAAAGCCATCGTCTTCTGTAAGGATCAACAGTATTATAAGAGCCATATACACATGGTGCGAATTTCTTTCTTCAACATGATACAGAATCTCAAGAATTGGTAAAACCTGGGAAATAAAAATATAATTTACTCTTTTAATATCTTATTAGATAAACAATGTTTTTCTAAAATTTTATACTTTTATTTTGTATCTTTTACTTTAATATCATAGTAATTTATTATTATTATTTTTTTTTGTCAGTCGTGGGGCTTGAACTCTGGGCCTGGGCGCTGTCCCTGAGCTCTTCAACTCAAGGCAAGCACTCTACCACTTGAGCCACAGCACCACTTCCAGTTTTTTAGTGTTTATTGGAGATAAAGAGTCTCACAGACTTTCCGGCCCAGGCTGACTTTGAACCGTGATCCTCAGATCTCATCCTCCTGAGTAGCTACAATTACAGGCATGAGCCACTGGTGCTCGGACATAGTAATATTTTATAGATACTTTCTATTCACTTAGCTAAGACACCAGGAGAGAAAGTCATCATTAAATCTGGGAAGGTCTAGAAAGTCTACCCAACCTAAAGGCTAGATTTGCAGAGACCTAAATCATTTAAGCTCATGGTTTGAAGTTTTTAAGAAATTACATCCACAAAAGGTTTTATCTTTGTTGCTGTAGTTTTTAATGCACTATGTGATTTTTCTGGTTTCTTTTGTATGTTCTTCTTCCATGGTATAAACCCTGTTTTTACTGTATTTGATTCCTCACCCTGCATCTTATATATACATTGTTCTAATTTGGGGATGGGAAGGGAAATAACCAAATGCTGAAAGAAGGATACAAGACACTATGTTGACAAGGTAGGGAAGGGAAAAACAAAGGAGGGGGTAACAATGCTTGATATGAAAGTACTCATTACCTTACTCATATAACTGTAACCTTTCCATACAGTATCTTTACAATAAAAAAATAAAACAACAAAAACAGAAATTATATCATCTTCCCTCAACCAAAAAAACAAAAGGACAGATACCCAGCTGCTCAGAAATTTTTAAAAAATGTTTAAATTTATGCACTTAGTATCACTTGTATTTTAATGCTAAAAAGTAAAAAAAAATACTTTAAGCTGTTCAAGATGCACTGGCTCAACATGAATATTGAGATGTACTCTTTGTGTGTGTGTGTGTGGGGGGGGTCATGAGGCTTCAACTCTGGGCTTGGGTGCTGTCCCCTGCGCTCTTCAGCTCAGGGCAATCACTCTACCGCTTGAGCCACAGTGCCACTTCCGGTTTTCTAGTGCTTTATTGGAGTCTCATGGGAAACAAAGGAGGAGGCAACAATGCTTGATAAGAAATGTACTCTTACCTTGCCCATGTAATTGTAACCCCTCTGTACAGTATTTTCACAATTAAAGAAGAAAAAAAAAAAGAGTCTCACAGACTTTCCTGCCCGGGCTGGCTTTGAATTGTGATCCTCAGATCTCAGCCTCCTGAGTAGCTAGGATTACAAGCGTGAACCACCAGCACCCGGCGAGATGTACTCTTTAGTAAACCATTTCATTGTATATGATATATTTACAAACATTTCAATTCATTTTATATGATCTATTTATTCTTTTTGTTCTAGTTCATTTTATATTCTCTATTTACAAATAGACCAATTTATTTCAAATCCCTACTTTAAATCTTTCAATTTATACATTCTTTACTAGTTAAGGTGAACAGGTTACTAAAAGTATCTGTTAGATATGGGCAAACTAGCTACATACCATGCCACAATACTTCATACACTATTCACTGAATATTGAAAAATAAAAACTCTCAAATCTAAATCAGACAATTATTATTATAACAAGTAAGTTATTCATATACATAAATCCCACATGCTGGTATATAAAGTCCATAAAAATGAGGGACACCTATTATAAGAATTCTGGGTGTTTTATTCTTTTACAAGCTGTAATTGAAATGTCTTCTAAATTATGAAGAAGTGTAGTACATAAGACTACTAAATTCTAGTAGTTCAGAATTGTGTCACAATTACTAGTCATTACTCTCTGTTTTCTTCTTTCATTGGCATACATTTGTTATACAGTTAGGTTTCATCATGAATTTTCACACTTACCCGTGTATGCATGTAGTATGTGTTTGTATGTATGTATGTACGTATGTGTGTATGTATGTATGTATGTATGTATATTCACCTTCTTCATTAGCCCTCTCCCCTTCCTCTAGTACCCAATTCAAGCCTGTTTTACTTTCCTCTTTTTTATATTGTATACTAATTACACCAAAGCATTTCTGTATTTAGAAATGCATGTATTGCCTAGTGCTCAGAATAACCTTCTCTATTGCTTTCTCCTTCCCTTTCCCCGCCAATTCCTTACTGATTAGGAGCTTTCATTGAGGTTCCTTATGCCATATTGATACAAAGTCAATTGCTCAAACCACTATGGCAGTTCCTTCTCTTTGTTTTGTTCCCCCCCACTTCCAATATAGGAGCTCATTTTATGCCTAAGCTGGCCTGGATTGCAGTAGTCCTGTGATCCTTCCCTTGGGTGTGGGGATATCAAGGCACATACTGTGCCTGGTCACTGGTTGAGATGGACTCTTAAGCAACTGGCCCTGAACCTCAATTCCCTAATCTCTGCCTCCAAAGTAGCTAAGATTACAGACTTTAAACTACCAGTTGGGCTGGCTTTACCTTTTTATGTAAAAAGCCATATGTAGAAAATAAAGAACTCTTAGACCATCTAAAAGAAGATATAAAATTCCTTATGTAACTTCTTCTGATACTAAATATCAAGTCAGAGACTTCATATCACTCTATGGATCTCCTTTTCTGTGACTCCACAGTAAAGTTTAAGTTAAAATGATATGAGTTGCATACTGCAATGTGTGTGCAAGTTTAAGATCTCACCCAAGGGCAGAAAGCTGGTGAGGCTTAAGGGACGTATCTGCCCAATCTCTGCTTGAAAATAAAATGGCAGCTAACTTGAAATTCCTTTATTGAAGAAGGTACAAACACCATGGTATTGAAACATCTACTTATTATTTGTCCACAATCTCTTCCTTTAAAGAGCTCCTCCCCACAAGCCTCTCCAAATACCCTGTGGCTCTGATGGCTTATCATTGGTCAAAGAGTAGACATTCAGCCTCAAAAGAGAATATTGGAGCCTTTCATGAAATTCTTATGAATAGATGTGTGTATATAAGTGTATATACGTGTAATATGTACATCTACAAACACATTATACATATATACACATGTGCATATACATATATGTACATATAATATTTATATTTTGTGTATACATATTACATATATAATTGTGTGTGTGTGTGTGTGTGTGTGTGTGTGTGTGTGCGCGCGCGCGCGCGCGCCAGTTTGTTCTGGTGCTTGAACTCAGGGCCTGGGTACTGTCTCTGAGCTTTTTTGCTCAAGGGTAGCACTCTACCACCTGAACCACAGTTCCACTTTTGGGATTTTTTTTTTTTTGGTGTTTAATTTTTTTTTGGTGATTAACTCTTTTGGTGGTTAATTGTCACAGGCTTTCCTGCCTAGGCTGGCTTCAAACCATGGTGCTCAGATATCAGCCTCCTGAATAGCTAGCATTACTCGTATAAGACACTGGTGCCTGGCTTATAATTTCTTCCTTTAAGATTGTAAGGCCATGGACCCAGGGCTGCTGCTAGTGTCATTAACTCCATTTGGAAAGTGTGTACTTGACAATGAGACAAACAGTGTAGAAAGTAGTGGCTAAGGATGAATATATGAAAATATTTGTGCAAATATATTCCTTTTAGCTTAAGGTAGGCACTCATCAGTTTGTTACAACTTAAAAAAAAAAAAAACCAAGAGTATTTTTTTAAATGTCTAGCTACTTTTGTAAACTACTTTGTGGTGATGATAAAACAATAAAAATTCATGTCCCTATAGAGTTTGCTTAATAGATAAAAAAGATATTCAGGAATCATTACTCTATTTTTCTAATGAGTGTTTAATGTCCTACCAGATTAATGAATATACTTGCACCGAAAGAAGTCAGAGGTTGAATGCCTATGGCTCATGCCTGTAATCCAAGCTGCTCAGAAGGCTCAGATCTCAGCACTGGCAGGAAAGTCCATGAAACTCTTATTTCCGATTCACCAGTAAAAAGCTGGAAGAAGAGCTGGCTCAAGTGGTAGAGCACCAGCTTTGAGTAAAAATGCTATGGAATAGTTTCCAGGCTGAGTCCAAGCTCTAGTAACAACATAAAAATGAGAGAGGAGAGAGGAGAGAAAGAAAGAGAAGTAGGGGAGAGAGAGAGGCTTTCAAGTATCACAGTCAATGCTCTATACAAACTTAGGAAGGAACAAGCTTTCTCTTTACAAGAGTTTTACTTAGGAGCAGTGTAGCTTTATATCCAATTTATTACTTAAGCCAATATTCCAAATGTAGGTTCTTTCATCATGCTTTATTTTTTTTGGAGGGGGGAGAAAGGGTGGGGGTCCATCTGTTGTGGGGCCTGAATTCTGGGCCTGGCATTGTCCCTTAGCTCTTTAGCTCAAGGCAAGCACTCTAGCACTTGAGCCACAGTGCCACTTCTGGTTTTCTGGTGGTTAACTGAAGATTGTCACTGACTTTCCTTGACTGGGCTGGCTTTGAACCTTGATCCTCAGATCTCATCCTAAGGAGTTAGGATTACAGGCATGAGCCATCGGCACCTGGCCCATCATGCTTTTTGTTCTTACTATAATTGTGATACAAAATATGCTCAGTGAAAAAAAATTACTGGTACCAGGATTTGAACTCTAGGCCCTGTGTTTACTGGACTTTCTTGCTTGATTGGCATTCTACACTTGAGCCATGCCTCCAGCCCAGGTTTTTGCTGAGACATGGAATTTCTCAGACTTTTCTGCACAGATTGGCTTCAAATTATGATCGTCTTGATTTCACCTTCCTGAGCAGTTATGTTTACAGGTATGAGCTACTGTACCCTGCTGAATTCTAGTATTTTAATGTTTCTTCATATACATAATATTTTAAAGCTAAAAAACAGTAGTTACCAAAAGCTTGATGAAGCATCTAACAACCTGTAAAACTAGGAACAGAGGCAACAGCCTGTTGCTGTCAGGCAGCTATTCGCTAATTCACATTGTTTGTTGTAAAGCAGTAATAGTTCAGTTTTCTACATACATTTCAAACAGCATATGCTGAGTGAAGTAGCTAACGTTACTCCTCAGAAAAACACTGTTGTTTACCTACACATTAGTTATAATGGAAATCAATGATTGCTTTTCAAGACTTTTTGTCCATGAACAAAAATGGTAATATTACTTTATTAACATCTAAGCGATATCTGACAAGATGTCTTAGTCTAGGAACTACATTTATATAGCCATAGATCATAGGGCTTATATAAGCTCACAATGGTCTATCTCATACACATCCAATAGGAAACAAGCATCATGCACCCCAAAGGCACAGGACCCTTAAGAAACCACACTGAAAAAAAAAGTACCCTTCCTGTTATCATTCTCACCAAGAATTCACTGCAATTGTGACCAATTACATGAACCTGGTGGGCAAGCAATTCACAACTTTAATGGACAAAAAAGAAACAGAATTCTTGCTGAAGGTACTTCTTTGAAGACTTAATCAGGCTGAATCCTGGGTAAGTTGGGTCTTCTAAAGGCCCCAAAGACAAGAAAGTTTGTCAGTAGAGAAGAGAATGCTGCTGTGTTCTACTCTGGGAGCCAACTCTGTGTGAACTGGTTCCTACTCCGGAGACATGCAGACCCTTTGACAGTGTTTAGTGGTATTTCCCCATCAACTTCTCAACTATAACCTAAGTGGCCACCTCTTGGCAAATTTTCTTTCTTCAAATTATTATAAAATACACAAAACTTACAAGATTCTCCATATCTGTGCGGGCCAACATGTATGTCCTGACATTGCTGTTCTGATGGAGCAGTGTGTATAAGAGGAGCGTTGCTTGATCAGATGTCTGTTGTTCACAAAGGGCTGTGTACAAACTGTTAAAGTTAATCTGGAAGGCATGTGGAATTGATGAGGGAAAAGGACTGCTGTCTGGAATAGAAAAGAAAAACAGTCATAAAGAATTAGAAAATAACATATGAATACTTATGGGAAGTCCCTACTTTTCAGAGTCAAAAATTTCAATTGATATTTTAAACTTTATTTTGAAAAGGGATAAAGTAACTAAACCGAGTCACGTAGTTTGTTACTATTTTCTCCTAAGTGTAGCTGAACTGAATCAGCTATAAGTAAAGGCATCATGGCACATTGTATGCACCTGTAATCTTCTGCCCTTAAAGACAGCAATGAAAAAAAGGATCTCTAAAAAATACAACTTAGGACACTGAAAGACAAAGATGACCAGTCCCAAATTTCTAGAGAAAAAAAAAATACAGCTTCTATATAAAACAGCAAGTTCTTTCATAAAATAAGGCTTTTATAAAACTATGTTGAAACTCGGTTCATTTATTTTAAGAAAATAAATCATGTTTGAAAGATTCACCTTTTTTTTGGGGGGGGGGGGGGGTCTGGTCGTGGGGCCTGAACTCTGGGCCTGGGCGCTGTCCCTCAGCTCTTCAGCTCAAGGCTAGTGCTCTACCACTTGAGCCACAGCGCCGCTTTTTTTCTTTTTGCTTATGTGGTGCTGAGGAATCGAAACCAGGGCCTCTGGCATGCTAGGCAAGCGCTCTACCACTGAGCCACCTCCCCAGCCCCAAGATTCACCAATTCTATTAAACAACTCCCAAAGAAAATGGCTGGAAAAACAACATATAATTTACATACTTAACATATAAACATGTAATTTAGAAATCTTTATAATTAAATTTCAAAATAATTGCTTCACGTGACTAACTATATATTTGTAAGGGATGGCTAAGTACTGTCAAGTACTCTAGTACATATGTATTATAGAATTTATATGAAACAATAGAGAAGATTGTGAACACACTGTATTACAATAGAAACAAAGTATCAACTTGGATCATACCTGATTGCACTGGCGTAAGTGTATGCATATGTGTGTGTATGTGTGTTTACAACAGCTATACCTTCCTAGCTAATAACTGCTATGAACCAGCTTTCAAGCCACTATTTTACATCTATTATTCCTTATCTAATCCATACAACAAATATGTCATTATTCTAACCTAGTTTTATGAAGAATAAAATGGAAGTTTAGAGAGATTAAGTATCTTTTTCCAAGATTGGTCCTAAGTAAAACCTGTAACAGTCTTTGTATTGTGTTGCTTCTTCCAATAACAACAACAATTTAAAATTGTGTTGATTCTTCTAAAACAGCACGAATTTAGTGAGTCTGTACTAGTGTACAAGTTCATTTAATTCTTTAAAAAAATCATGTGAGGGGGCTGGGAATGTGGCTTAGTGGTAGAGTGCTTGCCTAGCATACATGAAGCCTTGGGTTCGATTCCTCAGTACACAGAAACACACAAAGCTCAAGTGCTAACCTTGAGCAAAGGAAGCTCAGGGACAGTGTCCAGGCCCTGAGTTCAAGCCCCAAGACTGGCAAAAACAAAAAAAAAAGAATCATGTGAGGGAGAGATTATAATTCTTGCTTTAAAGATAAGAACATTGGTATTTTAAATAAAAACTAAGATGTAAATACAGGTCAATCTGACTCTAAAGTCAGTAGTTCCAGTCTCACCCTATTGTCTCCTAGAAGCCATGGTTCAACCCTAAATGTACTAACATTTGGCCCGAGTGGCAAAAGTAATCATGCTAGAAATTATATACTGAATACTTGCTATGTAGTGAAACCTGAACTGATCATTTTAAACTCTACATTTGCCTGGTATTTATACAAGTTATTAGGTGACATCAAGTCCACTTCATAGACAAAGTCCTTGAGACTTACTTACAGAGATTATGTAAACTGCCAAAGGTTTCATACTCTAAAGTGATTGAGATATGTTATAAGCTCAGCTCCAGAATGTGTTTTATTAACCAGTGATCCACATTATCACTAAGAAGAGTGTAATACCAAAAAAAAAATCACTACTGGCTACATGAGTTGTCATGCTTTATGCATAAAATTGTTACTGATTTCTACTAGTCTGTGCTTCAGTTTGAATGACTGTGTTCCCTCCAAAATTTATGTTGAAGCTTAGTCTTCAATGCAGTGGCATTAGGGGGTATTAAGTCTTAAGTGTTTCTTCCTTGTGAAATCTTTGATTAAGGAATTTGAAAGAGAACTTCACATAGAAAATTTTTGTCCTTCAGGCTCATGCCACGTGAGAACAGAGCGTCCGAGGCGCAACAGGAGGGCAGAGGTGTGCCTTTGTTAGACACCCAGCCTGCTAGTGTTTCCATTATGAATTTCTCCATCTTTACACCTACAAGAAATCAATTTCTGTTTTTTTCATAAATTATCTACTACTGGGTCTTTTATTATAGCAGCTCAAACGGACTATGATAATAGGAGAGTTGGCAGAGATACAACTGTCACACTAAAATTTCAACCTTGAGAAATATATGTTAGAATGGATCTAGAAATCAGAAGCCTCTCTGTTCCTGCTCAAGAACTGTACTTCTTGCTCACCTTAGTTATTGGCTACATCTTGATACTGTAACTGCTATAGTAATCTTCCTTTTAGAATATAACCTCTGGATAGAATGTTACTGTTGCCACAAAGAACCATCTTTTCCTCTTCTACTTTAGAGGTTAGTAAATAGAGCCCATAGGCAGTCCACCTATTTTAGAAATAAAGCTTTATTGAAACACAGCCATACTTGTTCATTCAAGTGACTTTTATGTATACTTTCAGGTAATAATAGCAGGGTGAAGAGTTGCAACAAAGATCAGATGGCCATGCAATGCTACTGCTGCTTTACAGAAAAAGGTTTGCTGATTTTTGCCCTAAGTTTTAATCCTATAAAACTCTGATTAGAACAGATTCTTTTTTTTTTTTTTCTTGCGCTGGTCCTGGGGCTTTAACTTCGGGCCTGTGAGCTATCTCTGAGTTGTTTTTGCTCAAAGCTAGCACTCTACCACATCTTCATTTTGGGCTTTTTGGTGGTTAAATCGAGATAAGAGTCTCTCGGACTTTCTTGCCCAGGCTGGATTTCAACCTTGATCATCAAATCTCAACCACCTGAGTAGTTAGGATTATAGGCGTGATCCACTGATGCCCAGCTAAAATATATTAAGTGAAAATATAAAACTACCAATTATTTGGGCTTCATGGGTTAAATTCCTATACCTAATAGGCAGGACAGAATGCTCCAAAGTAAGTCCAAGCTTGATTATCTCCAAAAGAAATGTAAGTTTAGAAAATATAAAGGACCTCAATAGCTCTTCTAGCATTTATTTGGCTTCCCTGAAAATACTGACAGGAAATTCTTCATAACCAATTTGAAAAAACAAGTTAACACACGTCCCCAAAACTATAAGATAAACAATATGGAGTAAACAACACTCTCCTCTTTAGAAAGAAGATTAAGAGAAAAAAAACCTCACCAACCTTGTGTATTCTTAAAGGACATAATGGCCTGTCTGTAGGGGTTTGGTGCCTCTGGAGCATCTGTCAGGTTGGCCAACACCAGTAAAAGCAGGAGACTTTGGTTGGCCAGAGGAGAAGAAAGTTCTGGAGAAGCAGTGGCTTTGCTGCCCACACCTCCTAATGTGAAGACAGTCCAGAGACCAGCTTGAGAAGAAAACAAAGGATTACTGTCATCACTAATATCATATATTTCTGTACAAAATTTCATTCTTTCTATGCTTTAAAATTCAAGGTATACTTATTATAAGAGCAAAACTAACTGCATTATTTGGAAATTCTCCTATTGCCCAAGTAATGTTTTAATAATTATCTGTCCATAATTACATTCTATTCTACTTCTATTTTCCACAGATAATCATTATTTTTCTTATATTATTTCTAGATTTTTCTGTATGTATAATTATGCAAATACATAGTGGTCAATATCTGCAAACACTGTACATACTCCCATTGGTATCACTGACACAGTATGGAGAAGAAAGGGAAAAAGTTGAGAGAGGACAGGAGGAAAGGAAGAAAAGAGCAAGGAAAGGAACAAGATGCAAAAAGATATGATGAATACTCCAGGGTAAATGATAGATTAGAAGTTTCATCCAAGTGACTTTGGACTGAGAAGAGCCAGGATAACAAGAGAGAAAGTAAAGAACCTTGAGAATCAAGAAAGAGGTTACAGGGTTAGAAAAAGCATAGAGAAACAGAAAGTTTCCACTAACTCCCTCCTTTTCATTAGAAAAATCTGGGTAAAAATTACCAACTAATAAGTGTTAATTATATATCATAAATTTAAATTTATTCAAAACAAATTTTAGTAAGTTGAGAAACTTGGGATGTCAAATAAGATTAAAATTATCTGAGTAAGTAACAACCAGAAGTCAAACTTAATTATTTTCCTTGGGAAAGATATGTTGTTTATTGGTAATATTTAGAATAAAAATTAGGTCACTTCCTTCCACTTTGAGTTTGCTCTGTGACTGCTTCCCCTGCAACCATCATTGTGTGTTCCAGGATTGCAAGCAAAGAAAAACACTATTAGAAGGTTCAATCTGCAACAAAAATAATCACAAAAAGCTCTCCAAGATAAAATACAAGTATTGGTTCTGGATGGTCTTCATAGCTGCTTGTCTTCATTACTAGGGAAATAAGAGTCGGCTGTTCCTGGACAGATTTCACAAACAAAGTAAGGATTCTCTTTTATCATACTGCTTCTTCACTCTGCTCTTCCCTCCTTCCTCCACTGAGAGTTGAGTATAAAGAAAGAGCCCCCATCATTGGAGAGAGAGAGAGAGAGAGAGAGAGAGAGAGTGCATGTGTGTGTGTGTGTGTGTGTGTGTGTGTGCGCGTGTACACACCAAGGATCCTTTTTGCTCCTGATAATTAGTACTAAATGTTGCTTTTCCTTTTAAGGAGACTGAGGCAGCCTGCCATTGCCTAAATTGTAGTTTAGACTGGCCCATAATACTGGCTCAGAATTCTTCCAAAAGTTCATTTCTTTTTGCTGATCCAAGACTCTGATCTATGACCCAAGAACCTTAGTGGAATAGCATTTTCCTGTTGGCATTACAAAAAAAAATTTCCACCAGAAAAACAAGGGAAAGTTACAGTATATTTCTTCCAAAAGCCAAATTAAGGATGGTTCCCAAAGTTTTAAATTATATCCCTTGGGTCTTCAAAGTAAGTTTGAAAAATAAAAATCATTTAGCTAAAGCTTTTTAAAAAGTACTGAAATTAGCTAAAAAAAAGTTCTTGTGTTGATTTAATGTGTTTAAAAGTAATGACACAAGAATATACTTAATAAGAATGTGATGAAGACACAAAGTGTGACAGGATTGAAAAATATAATAATCAAAAGAGAAAAGTTCTCTCATCTTAAAAAGAAATGTTTAACTTACCAGGCACCAGTAGCTCACAACTACAATCCTAGCTACTCAGGAGGCTGAGATCTGAGATCTGCCAGCCTGAGCAGACAAGTCTATAAGAGTCTTATCTCCAAGTCACCAGCAAAAAGCCAGAATAGGAGACATGGCTCAAGGGTTAAGAGTACCAGTTGTGAGCAAAAAAGAGGCCCTGAGTTTAACTCCAGTATGAAAAACGCCAGTATGAAGAAAGTTTAATTCAAAGCTGAACACTCAGCAGGGCAGTGGTGGCTCATGCCTGTAGTCCTAGCTACTCAGGAGGCTGAGATCTGAGAACTGCCATTCAAACAGGAAAGTGTGAGATTCTTATTGTCATTTAGCCACCAATAAGCTGTAAATAGCTCAAGTGGTAGAGTACTGGCCTTGAGCAAAAAAGCTCAGGGACAGCAGACAGGCCCTAAGTTCAAGTCCCAGGACTAGCGCGCGCGCACACGCGCACACGCGCACACACACACACACACACACACACACACACACACGCGCGCGCGCGCGCGCGCACGCACACAAAAAAGCCCAACAATATTTTCTTAACACATGAAGAAATAAAGATAAATTGTCTTTTTTATCAGTAAACATGCTACTTGCTAAACTATAATTGATTTCTTATATATAACATGTATCACAAAACACTATTCATGCAGAACTATATAAAAATAAATGATGAACACAGTCAGCATAGCAATAAAAATCTACTAAAAGGATTGTATTCATATCCTGAACTTGAAATACTAGAAAATATATTAACAACAGGAAAATTTTGGTCACAGTAATAAGAAAGCTACATATAGAGGCCCTATTCCAGGAACAAAACTACAAAGAAAGAAAGCTTATTCTGTACCTTTGAGGAAGTTAACATAATGGGAAGACCAGCATATCAACAACCAAAAACCAATTTTAACTGCCGTAATGATCCAATAAATAAAGCTAACACTTGAAATGCCTATGCTTTTCCCATGTAAGAAAAATATCATAGCAAAATAAGTAAAGACAGTTTCACCAATAATGTCAGTAAGCATGCATTCGAGGAAAAACACTGTGGCAGTTAGATATCTGACCTCAAACATGTTCTCATCCTTTTGATAAATAAAATATGCCAGGACTTAGCTACATAGACCTACAGTTCCCAACCTTTTCCTGCAGGAAATCATGGCAATGTGACTAAATTCTAATGAGAGATAAAGACTGTAACAAATACATTTTAGGCCATATCTTTTTAGAAGAAAGATATTCATATCATATTCATATCCTTTCTTCTCTATGGCTACATTTCAGGCATAGGTGGTGGAGGCCAAACATGGTTTTATACAGAAGGATATATATGAAGGAATAGAAAAACAAGAGAACAACAACTCTGGTACCTAGATGAACTCACCAAGGCTGCCTGCATCCCAGGACTGGCTTTTAATGTAGAGAAATACAGCCTTTTATCTTGATAAAGCCACTGATGCCTGATCTCTATTAAAAACCAGAACAACATCTAACTAATGTAATATATATATAGTAATATATATATATATATATTTGGGGGGGGGAGTCAGTTGTGGAGCTTGAACTCAAGGCCTGGGCACTGTCCCTGAGCTCTTTTTGCTCAAGGCTAGCGTTCTACCACTTCGAGCCACAGCTCTACTTCTGGTTTTCTGGTGGTTAATTGAAAGTAAGAATATCACAGACTTTCCTGTCCAGGCTAGCTTTGGACTGCAATCCTCAGATATTAGCCTCCTGAGTAGCTAGGATTAAAGGGGTGAGCCACAGGTACTTGGCTGCAATGAATGTAATTATGCACCATAATGTTCTGGATGTTATTGCTGAGGGTTTTTTTTTTTAACAATTTCTAAAATTCTTTGTCCACAATTCTTTTAAATTCAAATTTTAAGATAACTATATAGAAGCCAGTGAGAATATGGAGGGAGGAAAGACTTCAAAGAAGGAAACTACAAGCCAGGCAACAGTGACACTGTTGCCTGTAATCCTGGAGGCCAAGATCTGAGGATCATGGTTTGAAGTCAGCCTGGGTAGTTTATAAGTTTATAAGCCTCATATCCCCAATTAACCACCAAAAAGTCAGAAGTAGTACTATGGCTCAGTGCTAGAGTGCTAGCTTTGAGCAAAAATGCTCAGGGACGGTATCCAGGCTGAGTTCAAGCTCCAGGACTGGTGTGCAAAGCACATGTAAGAATGCACACACTCAGAAGTAAATAAAGACCAGGTACTAGCAGTTTACACCTATAATCCTAGCTATTCAGGATGCTGAGATCTGAAAATTATGGTCCAGAGCCAGCCCCAGCAGACAAATCCAAGAAATTCTTAAACAGCAAAAATCCAAAAGTGGAGGAATAGCACAAGTGGTAAAGTACCAGCCTTGAGTAAAAAACTGAGTTTAAGTCCTAGTATCAACACACACACACACACACACACACACACACACACACACACACACACACACACACACACACACACACACACACACACACCACTAAACACCTAGGAAAATCTTTGGTGAGCTGACCATTATATTGAAATATGAAGCATAGAACACTGGACTACTGATGATGTCAGGTAATAAAAGTGTGGCACACAAAAGCTTTTAAAAATGTTTAATTTTAATATTTCTAATTTAATTTGTAAATGTGCATATTATAAATATAGAATGTTTATACAATTAGAACTATATAATGATAGCATATCAATCTGATAATTTCTAAGAACTACTTAGTATTAAAATAAAATAAGTAAAATAAAATAAAATAAGTAGGAGGATCATGAGTTCATGAATTCAAACCAAACCTGGGGGGATAGGAATGTGGCTTAGTGGTAGAGTGCTTGCCCAGCATGCATGAAGCCCTGCGTTCAATTCCTCAATACCACATAAACAGAAAAAACCAGAAATGGCACTATGGCTCAAGTGGTAGAGCTCTAAACTACCCAAAAAGCCAGTTGTGGAGCTGTGACTCAAGTAGTAAAGAACTAGCCTTCAGCAAAAGATCAGGGACAGTGCTTAGCCCCTGAATTCAAGCCCCAGGACTGGCACAAAAACAAGCCAACATATATTATTGAAAGTAAATAATATGTTTAAAATTCTGAAACATAAATCACTCTAAAGTGAAAAAGTAAATTCAAGTTGCACTAATATAAAACAAAACATGGCAGCTGTGTGGATATGACTGAAGTTTTTGAAACATCGATGTATAGAAAAATAAACATTCCTCTAAGTAGCTAACTGTAGAGTACCAT